GGACGCAGGACGCGGGACGCGGGACGTGGGACGTGGGAGCCGGAGGAGGAGGAGGAGGAGGAGGAGTTGAAGGAGCAGGAGTAGAAGTACGAGGAGTAGGATGAGCACACAGAGTAGGAGTAAGGGGGAGCACGAGCATCAGGCAGGAGTAGTAGGAGCAGTAGAAGCAGTAGGAGTAGAAAGGGAGAGAAATAGAAGTAGGAGTAGTAGAAGCCATGGGAGTAGTAGGACTAGTAGGGGAGAAGGAGCAGCAGTTGTTGTAGCCAGCAGGAGCAGCAACAACAACGACAGCACCAGTTGCTTCCATACCATACCATAGCTGCTACTGATTCTGACGATGGTTCTTATTCGCACATCTACTACTTACATGTTCCCCACCCTGCAGCCAAGGACACCGGCTGGGCTGGGATCCTCTCTGGCTGCGAAGGCACAGCTTCCGAGCAGCATGCGAGTTTCATGCGCGTCCGGGACGAGGACGCCCCGAATATCTAGGACTCAATGCTGACTCACACAAAATGAGCTGCGAGCATCAGCGCCAGGCTTTACAGCAAGAAGCTTGTGAATTGCTGGAGCCTAGGTTCGACACTCAGTAGGGGTGGGACGTTTTGAAGTTCCTGCTTCGCTCCAGTCTGTGGAGCTCGCACCCAGCCACCCGATTCCCTATACTGGCAGAGCCCCGGTCTTCCGTAATGTAGGGGCCTAAATAATCACCTATACTATTGTGGAGGTTCCTTATTACAATTATAGTATAATGGACCCCAAAACCCCATTCTAAGTATTCAGGCTCCTATATTAACCAAGAAGACAGCCTTCTCTTACTGCATGATGCCTTTGTGCAAATGAACGAAGCACAATTAATAAAATCAAACAGCGACAGACCCAAGGCGCCACCGGCAGTCACATCGTCTTCAGGCTGGATCAGCAAAAAGCAGCTAGGTGAAGTGCTTGCACCCTTCGATCAAACAGAGGCAAAGCCCAGGGCCTAAGGTTTTGGGGCTCAGGGTTCCGTTTCGGCGGAGGAGAGAGCAAACACCGCCTTTTTTCTATCTCGGCAGGAATAGCATCGTGTCGTGGAGGTCCATGTCCCAACCAGGTCACTGCGTCATCTCAAAACATGAAAAGCGGCTTATGCTTTTACATAGCTTCTTTCCGACATCACGCAGATGCTTGCCCTTGCTTGCAAAGCTTGCACACCAGTGCCACCGGTGGCGTCCAGCACACAACTTCCTGCAGCGTGCACGTCGGAAGCGCCGAAAGTGTCGTTTGCATGAGTACCTGTACGAAAGCCTAGGAGTCGTTGGTCATCGCAGGAAAGCTTGACGCCCAGCCGCATTTTTAAGTTCGGAGCGGGCGCTGGCCGCCAAGCACTCGGGGAAGCAGACCACTCGGAAAAAGCTTTCTCGACAGATCTGACGGTGCTTGTGAGCCAGAGACTGTCTTGAAGCAGCTCTGGGGCCAGTGGCGTAGTGACCTTCACGATTCGGCCGCCATGAGCTCTCAGTGCAGAAGCGCTCAACGCCAAAATACAAGGTACGGAAGCTCTAGACGTTAAACGCAAGCTCCAAGGCTCTGGTGCGTGCAACTAGAACATTGAACACCCAAACCCAAAAATCCTGAAGTCTAACTCGAACATCTAACCAACAATTCTGAACTCAAAAAATCCCAGAAGCATGATGCCAGAAATGCATTGTGTCATGGGCTTCGATAAACAGCTTGTCGTCTTGCCATTCTTTTGAAGCTGTCAAACGAAAGCCTGTTTTGACTGCGGGTCTAGGCCTCTACAACCTGCAAAATCTACTGCTTTTACTTTGCGTAAGCATGAGTGCGTCCACAGCTCCGATGAACAGCAAACGAAAAGAAACCGTGTTCAGGTAGTTTTAAATCAGCTCCTTTGCAGACGATCGATAGTGGAGCGCAGACCCTCTTGCAGGAGTAGCTTAGACGAGCGACACTTCTATTGCGCCATCCTGCGCAAAAGCTTTGGAGTTGCCAATCAAAAACAAAGCCCACTGTGAAAATTGACTTTGGACCTTTGACTCAAAATCTGGACCGTGAAGCCGCGCTTGAAGTGGCCCCGACAAATGCGGCTCGAAAAATGCCTCTAAGCCTGTCGGATTGTGTGCCAATGTTAAAAGGCTCAAAACTTACCCTTTCTGAAGACACTTGAATTCTCAACTCACATAGGACACTTGCGAAGAAGTGTTGTTTTCCTGCACAGCCTGTGTAGCTTCAGCCACTTTAACAGCTGACAGCGAATGAAGGCACTTACGAATTGCAGGTTCGGCTGTTTCTATGAAATCTGCCCTCTCCTTTGCATGAATCTCGCAGCTAAGCTTTGGCAGATGCAAAATGGAAACAACATTGGAACTTAGAGTTCACAGTTTGGTCGTTTCAGGTCTCGCATTGCTTCTAAGCTTGAAAAACATGTCTGCCGTTTTGACTGCGGCCAAACTTCCAAAACCATGTTGAGCCACAGAGAGGAAACCTCTTTGGCCGCCAAGATCTACAAAAGAACTTCTTTCAGGCTCGACTTTGTGACCTTAAAAGATGTCTTCCCACGAGAGGACTTGCGGTGGATTATTTTTTTTGCTCTGTGACAATGAACCTGTTTTGCAATCTGAATCTTTGCATTGCTTCTTCTTTCAGTGGACAGACTGGTTTTTGGGCGCTCCAAGTTCTTGAAAAATCAGTCTTTATCAGATTGACAGACTCCACTTTTTCAAGATTAAGGTTTGTCTGCGCTGACGCCGATCGAGCTGCAAACGGCTGTACGACCTAGCCATCAGCTGGAAGATGCACCCAAATTCAAGTTTTTGGGGTCAAGCTTTTAGGTCGCCACTCAGCCCTTCGATTCTTCCTCTTCTTCTTAAGATTCCTTTTGAACCAACCCTTAAGTTCTTCTTGAAGCCTCCCTTAAGTCGGTGCAGCCATTGAGACTTTCGGACCTACACTGAAACTAGTCACAGAGTTGGAGCTGGAAATCAGGTAATGAGGTTCAGGAATTCACAATCCAGTTGCTCTTTCCGGTTCGCGCTCGCAGGCCATACCCCCAACGCAGCAAACCCACTGATCCAGACGGTCCTTCAAAAGAGCTGATGAAAATTCTGAATCCCCTCCAAAAATTCTTTTGACCGTGCTGTGGAACTGCGTGTGGCAATATTTCAGACCCTGGTGCAGAGACTGCCTCCCATGCTCCTGTATGTAGGGCTCTTCCCCCGCCTTAACATCACGTAAACAAAAGCAACAAAGTCGGAATGCCCTTGAAGCAGTTGCAGAGTTCTAAACCAGCTCCCAGCATTGTCGTACAACATTAGTAGTGGAAGTGCCTTGTTCCGGATCCTTGAAGAGGCTTCAAGGGAGCTTGGAGGTTTGGAGAAGGTTTGGAGCCGTGAAGTTAGAAGGGGTTTTGAAGGGTCCAATTCTTCTTGTCATGTTTGGCATGTGCTGAATGGTTTGAACATGGAGTCTTTTCAGGCCAAGAAAGCACTGAGTCCCACCAGTCCCACCATGCCTCCAAAACAAGAGCAAGTGTGGTACTTCGATTCGTTGCTGCCGGTACAACCACGCGAAGGCTTGTTGGATTGCTGCAAGCGGTGGAACGAGAAGGAGAAAAGAAGCAAAGCTTCGTATCTTTTCAATTGAAGAAGAAGACGACGCAAATTGGTTACTGCCATAGGCACGAAGCATGCTCCATGAAGTTTCGGTTTTCCTTGGTGAGCAACAAAGAAGAATGCAGTTTGGCTAAATGGCTTTGTTGTTGTTTGGAAAGTTAATGTCAAAACACCATTGAAGCGATGTCCGAAAGTGCTAAGGTTCTGCACTTCCACAAGACGTGCTTGACTTGGATGAGGAAGTCTTTTACTTGCGTGTTGAACGGTCCGTTCGGGAGGGTCGCAAGCACGACGGGAAGGTCATTGTAGAGGTCGAGCAGCATTTGAATAAGCACCAGTTTGGACGCCGCCTTCCAGCAAAACAAGCGAAGAAGGCTATGACAGAGCTGGGAATCCCATTTGAGCACATTCCAAGTGATCGCGCTTTAGATGGTGTCAGGCACCGACATTTGGAACAGGGCAAATCCTATGACGGCAAGTTTGTTTCCAGAACAGACACCTCTAGTTTCAGAAGAAATCGTTCGGGTCCTGTTCTACGAGCAAGAGAATTTGGATGCCGTGGTTGCCTACCTTCGCACACAGGATCGGTGTGTACTCGTTATGGATGCCACATTCAAGACCAATGTGCAGGATGTTGTGCTAGCCAGTCTCGGACTCGTCATCTTGTACCAGGTTGGCGGAGTGGTGCGCAATCGATTCTGGCCAGTAGTTTGTGCCGTGTGCGACAAGGAAGATGAACCGTGTTATGCACTCTTATGTCGAGCTTTCCAGAAGCTATTGGACGAGGCGGGTTTGGATTGGGAGAAACTGGTGACAAATGTGGTCATGGATGGTGCAGGCGGTGCCATCAATGCCGCAAGTGCATGCTTTCCAGACGCTACTTTGCACCGGGACTTAGAACACATAAAGAAAGACGTCAAGCGCATCGGGGGCAGGAAGAAAGTTGACCCAGAGCTGACAATGGAGATAACGGAAATCATCCAGTTCAGCGCCAAAGTCGCACATCCACTACAGTTCCATGTCATCTGGGAGGACACTTTGCGAAGGCTGCGCGACCCAGAAGACTGGAATCAGGACAGCGCCGTGTGTGTGACGTGGTCAAAGTGGTTTAAGTCTAAGTAGTACGCGGATGATAGATGCAAAAGGCGAATGACAAGATGTACATAACTTTGGGCAGTAAAGCAGCTGAGCTTGTAGGTTTGCTTGAGGAGAAATTCGCGGATTACTTGGAGAGGTGGGTCTTGCAGAAGAAGGGCCTGTGGTGGAGCGCAGATTGGCAGAGCGGTCTCGGTCAAGTGTGTCCGGGTTACGGTACTTATGTGTCGAACGCCCAGGAGCGAGCTTGGCGTTCGATCAAAGGTCTTTTCAAGAAAGGCTTCCGACACCAGGACGTTAGCCAATTGGTGCGTGAAACAGCAGTGACCTTGCAGACTTTGGTGCGCGGAGGACAGTATGCCAAAGCGTGCTTCCAAATTGAGGAGCCTCCTGACTCAATTGCGTACAGTGCGAAGAGATTAAAGTCGGAGCAAGATGATGAAGAAATCCAATGTCACCGGCTCACATTGGACTTGATGCAGAAGTGGCGAGATAAGGAAGGCGGCGTGTGTTGTCCAAAAAGCATGTGTCGGTGCTAGGTTAGAGCACTTGTGAAGTAGTGTATGCTGCAAGGTGACGAGAACACCTTTCTGAAGTACGACACTGGGGGCCGTGTCATGGTAGACTGTCGGACGGTGGACATTACTTCAGTCATCGTTATGCCGAAGTACAAATTGGAGTATGCCAAGAACAAGAAAAGAGACATGGTGCAGCGGTTGGACTTAGCACTCTCTTCTTTGTATGAAGATGGTGAAGCTGCTTTTCGCACTGCTTTGGGAAACCCAAGGCAGCGGTCCTTTTCCATGCACAAAAAGTTGTTCTACAAGTGCACTGTGATGTATGTGCTTAGCACGGGCCGTGTCGTGGATGAACATCCACATTTTGTGCACAGTAGCTGCAGCGAGCAGGCTTTCTTTTACAAATCCGTGTTGGGCGGCTTGAATCTGCGCCCCATTGCAAGGGGCCCTAAGACTCTAAAGGCCAGGCGTCCACGGCGGGACAGGCGAACCGAGGAGTTTCGCAAAAAAATGCGTACTCCTTCGCCTTGATCCTGCTATAGCTGACTCCCACGCCTTCATGCAGGCAAATCGCACGGTTTACTAAAAAAGTGCAGGGGGTATGTTGGGGATTATTGATTTTATGTGTCTCGCGGTGTATGATACAAATTGCTTTTGAGATTTTCGTTGTATTTTGTATGGGATTTCCCTACATATTTAAGGTATAGAATACTTTTTAATATACTACATGATTTGATTTTGCTATTTAGGGGTCTGCCTAAATTTTAGGCGGGGGTCTGCCTAAACTAGATGTTTTCCACCTAGTTCACTGCAGTACCATGCTATCAAGAAGGTGTGTGTGTGTGTGTGTGTGTGTGAACTCCTCTCGTACATGAGGTAAGGGATTCACAATCCACATTCGCAGATGTTTTGCCACCACAGATTCATTTCGCTGCAGGGGGTGCAAGGAGCATTCTGGAGTCTTGCACCAACGAAGACGCTCCAGTTTGCTTGTGATATCATGGGGAGACGTCCCCATGACGTACCTGCGAAATTTTTCAATCTGAGTGAGCACCTCATTTGAGGCCTGTACTAAGGTGAGTGACTGGCAAACACTAGAGTGAATGCCTGCATTGTTGCCGCAATCTGACATGCATGATGGCCCGACCCCATGTTTGATCACCGTCACACATCGTAGCTGAACAACCTGTGCATCAGCAGCTAGCGTATTGTCTCGCCGTGTATCATATATATATATATATGTATATATATATATATTGTCTTATAGAGATTGATGTTGTTTTTAAATGTGTTGTATGGGATTTGCCTATATATTTAAGGTACAGAATATTTTTAAAATACTACATGCGTTGATTTTGCTATCTAGGGGTCTGCCAAAGTTTAACTGATGTCCCGTCGCCCTTTTGGCTCAAAGTGTCGCTGGGCATTGCGCTCTGGCCAGTCCTGGCCCAAGCCTTAGGAGCAGTAAGTACCGCAGGGCGACAATTCTGCAGCTGGTTTTAGGACCGATTTGTTAAATCATTTTGTGGCTGGTTTCAGAATCTGATTCGCTGAGCAGTCCTTCGAGCAGCCGTGTTCCTAATCTCGCAGCCATTCCTGAGACGTGCACCCTCATCCAAGTTTCAGGGCTTAGGTTTCAGAATTCAGGTTTAGGGGCTTGCGCTTATGTTTTAGAATGAAGGTTTAGCGCTTGGTTTTCAAATGAAAGTTCAGGGTTTATGGTTTAGCTTGTAATAAAGGTTTAGGGTTTAGGTTTGATAATAAAGGTGGTTCGGGGTTTTGGGGGTGTAGGGTTTAAGTTGTGGAAGGAAGTTTTAAGGTTATTGTAGGGCTTAGCTTTAAGGTTAAGGCTGTAGGGTTTCAAATTTTAAGGTTAAACCTGTTGTTCTAAACCCTAAACCCGAAGGCGGAAAGCCAAGTTCAGGCCAGGGAAACGCTCACCTGCGCAGGCAAGCGTTTCGCAGATGCGGAGCTGCGGCCACTTACCTGTGCAGGCAAGCGCCTCCAACAACACATCCGCGCGTTATTCGCACTTGTAGGGTTCCAGTACAAATAGGTTCTGCCACCAAAACACACCACCGGAATAGATGTGCTGCTATGTCGCAAAACTCACAATCAGATCCAGCAAGTACTCTCTGAACTCTCAACAAAAAACAACACGTTGTTCTAGTGTGGTTTTTGTGGTTGGTGCAAGGCTGCAGTCGCGTGGCCAGACAGCCGAAACACCTGATTTGATGTATCTCAAACCGCACAAAATCAAATGTCAAACATTAATGCTTTCCAGAGAAACCACGTGACATGTGCCATTTTTTTGATTGCAAAAATGCGAAAAATGCAACAGTCTCAAGCAGCCACCAAAAATACAAAGAAATGTTCCTACAGGTTGGAGTCAACTTCCAGATCGGGGATGATTTTGGAGTGGGTACTTGGGTTCCGAGCAAAGCCCCTTCCGACGACACCGACCAACCTCAACTGTCGTCAACGTACAAGCGCCGAGCGTTGATTTTCTGAGACAGCAAGGTGTCTGGAAGTCTGGCTTTGTACTTTGGAATCTGGTATCGCATTTTGGGCTGCATTTATGTCAATTTTTTTTGTCCATATTTGCTTCAATTGGTCTGCGGTATTATTGTCAACGTCCAAACAAAACAAAAATTTGCATTTTTGTTTTAAAGTGTTTTCTCGTTTTTGCTGATTCTTCCACATTGCCTGCAAGAAAGAGTAGTTTGCTTTCTTTGTTTTACTTGCATTCTGTAATTAGTGAATTCTTTTTTTCATAGGCGGCAAAACAAAGACATGGTGTTTGTTGTGCGACGCATTTGGCTTTCTTTGTTTCACTTGCTCTTTTTGAATGATTTGATTGTTTTTCTGGAAAACATGGCTCTGTAGATGGTGTCTAAATTTTGCTGCCATCTGTGGCATAGTTTTCAACGCCCGAAAAAAAATTCAAAAAATTTCTCTGGCGCCAAGCCCTTATTCACAATCGTAGAAATAAAGGTTGCAAACTCTAATGGGGACCTTTGAGGGTGCGCGCGCCAGGTTCGCACGAGAGCACTGCAGTTAACTTGGTCTCTTCTTGCTGTAAATTTTAAGCCAAGGGACAGCTTCCAGCGTTCTTCCTGGTGCTTGTACGAGGCATTTTGCTTTGTTTCACTTGCTATTTGCCACTCAGATGCACGCACCAACCGCTAACTTTCAAAACCATCCCGCGCGTACCGGAACTTGCCGAACTTTCTGAACTCTCAGCAAACAACACGTTGCTCTAGTGCGGTTTTTCTGGTTGGTGTAAGGCTGCAGTCGCGTAGCCAACCAGCAACACCTGATTTGATGTATCTCAAAACCGCACAACTCAAATGTTAAACTTTGCTTTCCAGAGAAACCAAAGCGGCATCTCTGCATTGCTGGAGGTTGCATCAAGCTCCGTGATTTTGCAAAGGTAGCCGGCAGGGTGCAGTTCTCTGATGCACAGGTGATGGGCCGCGCTGGCAAGTTAGCTTTGTCGGAGTTGCGAGCAGCCTCCATGCGGCATGCCACTAAGTTCCCGTTAGGCCCTAAGGAGGTTCGTGCGTTTGAATTCCTCGAAGATCGCCTTTCCTTCGGTGCACCTAGAGTAATCCCGTGCGTAGTTGCCCCTAAGCCGGTATTAATCTTCACAACTGGCGTCAGTGAAACCACGGGCCACACTGTTGGAGGAGTCTTGTACCTTCCGGGCTCAGCAGAGTCTCGCTTCTTCGCTTGTTTTGGTTTCTTGTGCCGCAACGCGCCAGTGGTCGCAACACTTGAAGCACATCATAGGACCTGTGGAGGCATATGCGCTTGCCGTGGCATGGTTGGTTTTCCATCAGTACGTGTCAGGTCACTATTGCATCTTCTTCGTGGATAACGATGCAGTCTTGATGAGCTTTATTCGAGGAAACTCAAAGAGTGAGATCTTCCGTGACTTAGTCCTTTCGTGGGAGTCTTGCGAAAAACATGGCTACTCGTGGTCGTACTGGGCTCGTGTGCCGTCGGCGTCAAATCCGTCTGATGATCCTTCACGTGGGGTGACAAAGCCCCTGGAATCCGGATCAGTGCGAGTGAGTTGCACATGTCCGCTCTCAGGGGTGGTTTTGCGTAACTTGTGACAAAATCAGATTAGTGCCAGCGTCGTCGGGACGAGACTGGGCTGCTTCTCACTGGGGAGGCCGGGCAACCCAGTTCGCCCCTATGAAAAAGAGTGTGTGAGCCATTCAGTCTGAACTTACTGCAAAGATATTTGAGTGTACATTTATAGCTTTGAGCTTTGCGATATGTCTAACACTTGGCATGATTTGGTTTTGAGTTTTTCTTTAGCAAAAACATGGACTTTGGTGTGCACGACAATGCGGAAACGAAGTTTGCAGGGTCGCTCGTTGTCCGACGGGACTAGAACGACGGCCGGAGACCTTCTCTTGGGGGATCCACCGCTGCTTCGGGTAGCAATTAGGCGACGCCCTTTGCTGCCTCTGCTTGTCGCTGAGAGCCGCCTTGTACAGTGTAGTGCTGCTGAACAGGGTAGCGTCCTAGATGTGAACCTGCAGTAAGTAGATAGGCGAGGGCTCTTGTTTCACCGCTGTTTTGATGGTTTGTTTGTTTGTTGGTTTAGCTTGGGACCGAGCGCAGCTGACGCTGTCAACGAGGCCCGCACCCGCAAAAAAAAAAACCGCCAGCCCGTCAGGTCACTTTTCGCACCGCAAATGCCCCCGAGCTTGGTTGTTGGAGGGGACACCTGTGCTGATGATCTACATTTTCCATGTGCATTGGCTAAAGTCTCGTTTGTTGTTTGGCCTGTTTTCGCATCATATTCACCAATCATTGATAGTCGAGCCTGAAGTATGGTGGAGTACTTTGACTCTTGGTTTCTGTTAAAAACCGCCCTCAGGGCCATCTTGGCACATTTCGTATGTATTGCGATTGAAGGTCTAGCAAGAGCGTCGGTCAGGGTTGCAGGAGGGCATTATCGTGTTGCGTCCGTCGCAGCCTTATACGCCGTCATTGTTTGCAGTGGGCCATGCAATCTGAACCCCGACATCTCAGTCCAATAACCCCCCAACACCGAACAAAATCCATTTGACCCCAACACCCAGTTCTAATTTCGGTACGCGCCATGCCTCGCCAAATTGGGTCACCGCGCGATGCACAAACACTCGGACGGTGCGAAGAGCTTGAGGGGGACCCAGGCGATAAACCCTAAATCTTTTCTGCATTTCGTGGGGTGGCCAGCGTTTGGGGTAAGTAGGTCCATTTTCTGAACACAAGGATTATTCTCATATTTGGCTTTGACTTTCTTGCGTTCGATCTTGCTTCTGTTTCTGAGTGACTCACTTTTGATCCCATACGGCATGCCGAAGCCGGAACTCAGGCAGAGGGGACGAGGAGAAGGATTCCTTCGTGCCACGGATCCGTGGTGTGGGAACTAAAGAAAGGGATTTGCCGTGCTGTTCGGCCGGATTTGTTTGCTGCTTTCTCATGACTCCTGGCTGCATTCTATACCTTGTCTTCTTGCGGTTGTACGC